ATATATATATATATATATATATATATATATATATATATATATATATATATATATATATGGAAAAATTCATATATAATTATATATAATCATATATATTTTTATATAATTGTATGAACTTTTTCCCGGCATGTTACTGATACTTGATATCTACTTGTTTAGATATAGGCATTCAAAATTAAGAATTAGATTTAGTTTGCTATTCTTTATCTTCTGAAAGCTTCTCTTTTAGATAAAGAAAAACTAGTGATTGCATCAACACAAATCAAACCTGCATTAATTTTGCGTACTAATGACGTATATCGACAAATAAGAAACAATCACAAAATTCTTCGTGAGTTATTCTATCCATTTTAAATTGCAATATGCGATATATTATAGCCGAAGGACAATGTGAACAATTATGTGGTTTTTATTTTTGTTCAGTAATTTTTGTCTCTATAATGTTTGATTTATTGTTGAACTTTTTAATAATAAGGCATTTGAAAAATTATAACTCAATTTTTAGTTTTGAACTTCTATATCTAGAAAACTGTTGTGAATTTTATTCATGTTTATAAGAAGTTTTTTGCTTAAATTGATCCTACGAACATGCTCTTTTAGTATGTACAGTTCGTCATGGGAAACACACACTCTTTATAATTATACATATAATTTTATATGATTACATATATAATAATTATTTTTTCCCGGGTCGACAAATTATATACTACACACATACACTGAAGAAAAAGATAACGATGATTTGATAATAATTATCTAGCCTGTGTTATAGGTATTAAATTTTAGTACCTATAATATTTTAGTAATTATTACCAAATCGTCGTAATCTTTTTTTTCTGTATACACTTGCATACATACATGCACGTACATACACTCACATACAACAACACAGTACTCTTGTACAAAACAAGAAGGCAAGATATAACGAAAATAATGTTAAACAATAATATTACCGATAACGATAATGTATAATCCGTGAAGGTAGAACAGGGCGTTGGTGCGTCTCAAGGTTAGCGTCTCAACGAAGAACAGACGTATTTATTGTTGACTGGTATAAACGTAGATTTTATATCATGACATTGTACTTATATAGATTATTAATTATCTAATCGATTAAGTTTCGAATACATTCGTCTCCTCTATCTACCTGCAGTATTATCTCAGTCTTCGTCGAATACGTTTGTGTACCTGTAATTGCAAAGAGGGATCCCCGTAATAGTTCGTTTTTATCATGGACATCGATATTCATTCGCTTTTTCATCTCGAAAATTTCTTCTTTATGATAATTTTTCAATTTCTTAAGACAACTTGAATAATCCATACGGCAGCTTTGAAAGTATTGCGATATAACGAATGTGTAATTTGTATACATATACACAAACACGTATACACACATAACAAGACGTGAAACTGTATACAATAGTATAAAGAAAGTAGACATACAACGAACATAACGATATCAGCTGCCATGGAGAAGTATAACTATACTAGTCTCTATTCTTCAATAAAGTTCTTGATTGTTATTTTAACGACTAACGACATGTCGTTTTGTATATTGTACAGAAATTATATGAGGATTCTCTTCTATACCGGGATCTCTCCAAATTATCTTTTCCTATTGTTATTCAAATTCCCAGAAGTATATCCTAACGCGTCAATATATATCTAGTCATAGCTTATTAAAACGTTATGTAAATAATTGTTCTATCATAATGTCGTATACATACAGGCTATTCCACTTCAATTGACGCCGTTAAATATCTTGAAATGTACTCAAGATATTGAAAAATGTTCCGGATCATTATCATAATATATTAATGCACTTATAAGAAAAGGTGTGTGAAATTTGTTAATGTAACAGAAACATTATTTTATTTAAAAAATTGCAATTAATTTTAAGATGACTTTGAGAAAAATAATTTTATTTCACAATAATATTACGATAATGTATCAGCTTTAAAATTAAACAACTTTGTTTTGAAAGATTTTTCAATATACCAAATATACAGGGTATCTGACTCGTACCGTATCATAGCTAACATATAGCTAGAATAGATCGGGGTGAGTAATAAAATCGGTGTCTTTTTTAAACAACCACAAAATTTTGAGATATTAACGATAAAAGATTTCTATCGAGCGGCAGCCCACTGGCCAATCAGCACGTGTGCTGTGGTGAGACGAACGCTGTACGCGCTGTAGCATCGGTATGACAGGCTAGCCGGGCCAGCCTTCTGGTAATGCGTTTTCCTCGTTTTAGGAGGCTGACCCGGCTAACCTGTCATGCTGATGCTACAGCGCGTACAGCGTTCGTCTCACCGCAGCATACGTGCTGATTGGACAGTGGGCTGCCACTCGCCAGAAATCTTTTATCATTAATATCTCAAAATGTTACGTGGTTGTTTAAAAAAAAGATACCGATTCTATTACTCACCCCGACCTATTATATGTTAACTCTGGTACGGTACGAGTCAGACACCCTATATACTTTTCGAGATATTTATTTGCATCAATTAAAATTAGACATTCTATATATACATACATACATACATACATACATATATATATATATATATATATATATATATATATATATATATATATATGTATATGTATATATATGTGTGTATATACATGCATATATATGCACACACGCACACGCACACACACGCACACCCATACAGGGTGTCCCGCATAACACGTACGAAAAGAAAAATATAAGTAGAACAGATAAAAGTGAACAAAAATTGTATAGACCATTTTTCAAACAAGCACGTAATATTTCGAGATATTAATTAAAATAGTTGGGCATATCGGAGCTCGGCGACACGGCAGGCGGGACATACGGCTTGCTGCGGCCGGCGATGAAAATGGGCGATTGCTCGTGGACCTATCTTATAGGCCAGAGAGGTGGGCCGTTTGGCATACGGAAATGGGTAGCTCCGTGTGTACATCTGTGTACGTGTGCGCTCGTCCATTTTCTTCGCCGGCCGCGGCGATCGTATGTCCCGCCTGCAGCGTCGCGCATTTTGATTTGTCCATTTTATTTAATAACTCGAAATTTTACGTGGTTGTTTGAAAAATAACCTATACAATTTTTGTTCACTTTTATGTGTTCTATTTATATTTTTCTTTTCGTACGTCTTACGACGGACACCCTGTATATATACACACACACATACATATATACTTAGGCGCAAATATATATACATGTATATGTATACATGTATTTATAGATTAAAATATATACAGAAGTTATATTGTAACAATCCTCGCGATTTTTTAGGCATTCGCAATAAACGGATAAAAAATACATACAAAAGTGTATCTGTTTCAAGCAATAAATTATATTAGCAAAATGTTTAAGAAATAATATTTTATTTTTATTAAAAGATTAGGATCTCAATATTCTAAATAGGATTTATGCGCGTACAGTATTTTTAAATTATATTATTATTATTATTATTATATGTACACAGAGCCGTGTAATATTTTTAGGACTGATATTTTTCGGATCGTACGTTATTTTTAAATTATAATATCTATTCATATTTCTAAACTTATATAATATCATCATATTACTTAAAGCATTACTTAATATCAAATTTACAGCATTATTAGTTAAATTAGTTTTTAGTATCTTAACTATGTTTCGTTCCAACGATTTTATATTATTCATGTTTCAGCTAGAAATATAAATATATTGGAATTAGGCTATTCTCTCATTAATACTTCAGAACAACAATTATTATCTACTAGAGATTCAGAATATAATGGTAAGAATTCATGTCAATTAATATTATGATGTTGACAAAATGAAAATTATTTCTAGGAAATATTCAGTTTATAACAAAAAATTAGAGGTGATCTCGATGTTTTAATGATCTCGATAGTTTACATACTTCTTGCGAACCATAGTTTTATAACGTCCCAGTAAACACTAACACAGTCAAAAATAACATCAATTTTATAATTTATCACTTATTAATGCAAATGTAATATAATACGCGTATTATATAATAATTATATTGGTGAATGAGAAATTATAATATTGATGTAATGTTAGTTGGTAGTTAGATAGTTTACTGGAGTATAATAATGTTCGTATTTATAATCAATATTTTAAATAAAGGATTATTGATATTCTTTTAATGTAATTTGTTATTTGTTCAAAACAGATATAGTTCGGTATACATCTTTTATCTATTTCTTGTGAATGGCTAAAAATCATGTAGTTTGTTACAGTAAATATTCTATATATACAGAATGTAAACTAATTCGCGCTCACAATTTATATAGCACTATTTATAAACACTTGAAAGATCTTAAGAGTTCCTTTTTCCTGCAAGGCATTCATTAAATAAACTTACAACCTATTTTATTAAACTTCATAAAAATAAATAACTTAGGATTTTCCAAGTCCAAGTCTTTATAAAGAGTAGCGCTGTGTGAATAGTAAGCACGAGTTAATTCACACGCTGTATACATTTGGCACAACAAATATATATGTATGTATATTGAACATATATGTGTAGCAATGCAGAGCCTAAAAAGTACGTATATATTACAATAAATTCATGCGTATCTCTTATTGCAAAGAAACCTATCTACACCTATGAAACAATTTAATATTATCTTGTTTAGCTTGAATACGGGACGAAGATAGATGAGTAGTTATGTACTCTGATGTATTTAAAACATTTAAACAATAAAGAGCTATTGCTACTAATCAAATTTCAAATATTAAATGATAAATCTTAAGGTTAATTTCATAATCTTCAAGTAGATAGTAACAAAAACTCTGAAGAAGAATTCAATGAAATATACATGTTTTTATAAAACTTCATATATTTATCTTAAATCGATACAAATGTGTACGTGTTTTAACAATATTAGTTGAAATACTTTTTGTAAACCGTAGTTTTATAACATCCCACAGTAAACACTAACTATCAGTAACATAACATCAATGTTACAATTTCTCACTCAATAAATCAAATGCAATATAACATGTATTATGTAATAATTACATTGTTGAATGAGAAATTATAACATTGATGTATTGTTAGTTGGTATTTACTGAGGTATAATAATATTTGTATTTGTAATTAATGTGTCTTGCAATAATATTCCGCGTACGTCTGCAAGAGACATATCTGTAGCATATATATTTCTTTGAAACCAATGCCATTACCCAGATTCTTGAAATTTATCTCGTTATTTAGGCAGATTTAAAATAAATACTAGCAGATTTCCTTGTGAATTCAAGAATCCGTGATTTTCTGATCTAAGCTAGGTGGTGACTGGTGCTGTTGTTGCGATTGTTGCGATTGTTGCTGTTCCTCATTACATGGCATATCGTGACTCGATAAAGATTGCTGTTTAAATGGGCATTTATCTAAAGTGGACTCAAGAGCATAAAGTTTGACAAGTTCTTGCCGAATATGATTCAGACATTCTAAACGAATGGTTTTTCTATCAGAAATCGTTGAATTTCGATGAATTGTCAAAACGTTGAACAATAATTGCCATTCGTTTTCTAGAAATTCACGAGTCATCTTTTCGACAATTTCTTGGTCCGTTTGTTCCTGCTGTGTCGCAGACTTCTGTTAACAAAAGGTAACAACTATTAGTATATAGTTTCTGACAATTCATGATATCTCATTGTGTACAGGTAGAATTCATCAAATTGAATACAAAATTTTCCTATCATTTCGAAAACAATCATATAAAATTTTATGTATTTAAATTTTTATTAGTTATTATTTAAAGAAGATTAATAAGTATATGTGCGCGCGCGCGTATGTGTGTGTGTATGTGTATGTGTGCGTACGTGTCTATATTTGTACGTATGTATGAATGTGTGATCACGTGCAATGTGATAGATAAACTGCAGAGGAGACCGGGGTTATATGACCCCAGAGATATTTTGTTCATGTACTTCTTTTTAGTATTTATCTTGAGAGAAATAGTGGATATAAAATCGCAAAATGATCATTTTAGAACATAAATACTTTTCCATAAGTTTCATTCATAAAAATCGGAATAATATTATAGTTAAGAAATAGAAGAAAACTGATTTGGTAATAGCAAAGTAAATTTCGAGTCTCTTGAAATTTTATATTTATTTTTATTTTAAAAAATTTTATATTTATCTTTATTTAAAAACAGCACGCAACTTTCGTCAGTATATCATTCTTCGCTCCTGACGTCACAAATCTGACATGGCCGTGGCGAGATACAAGGAGTTTTAAGCAATGTGTTACTAGCTAGAATGAAATTTTTTGCAAATGTATGATGTATTGTTTCTAGTAATAAATATAATTTTCATTTATCGATTCATTGAAATAGAACATATGGATAGACGAGGTAAAGTTGGTCCATATTTAAGGATGAGCAGGAGGGCTGTAGAAATCTTTCGCGGAAACTTCGTAACTGCTAATTATATAGGACAACACGTTTTCCTTGTTAAGGGGCTGGCCCGGCTAGCTTGTCATGCCAATGCTACAGCGCGTACAGCGTTCGTCTCATCGTAGCACGCGTGCTGATTGGCCAGTGGGCTGCCGTTCGTTACACTGTAAAAACAGGCGTGTTATCAGGTGTGTTAAAACAACACACAATTCACTAATTTGGTGTGTTATGTGTTTAAATACCACAGCTGCGGTTGTAGATATGTTGAAATGACACACAAAGTGCATTGATCTATACACGAGTTCTGTGTTACAAAGGATAATACACTTCATGTGTGTTAAAACTGCAACACGGTAAATTGAATGCATATAAAGTGTGTAAAAATAATGCAGGAATCGCAGAATAACACATTTAGAAAAAACAACCT